TTTGGCAAGTTTCAGCGATTGTTTGGGTACCTGGGCTGTTCCAAGGCTGTTGGAGCTACCCATTATGCTATGGTTTTGGAGATGTTGCGGGAAAGTAGCCGGAATGACAACTTGCACCAAAATGAATTAAGAATGTGTTCCAAGGCGGTGAAAGGTTTCTTGGCAAGGCTTCAAGACCATCCCGATGAAGCGTCAGCAATATGTAATCTGTACTTACCAGCGACGTTTCCTGAATATCTGTACCTACCAGCAAAGTTTCCAGAAACCGGCTCCTCTGATAAGCCTCTGAAACAAATCCCTGTGACTTTGCACAAGTCCACTGAGCTGGTTTTCAATGATGTACCTGCCTACGGACCAAGGATCGCGAGGCTCAACATACGTTTTGTGCTTGAGCTCAGCCTGCTGGATGTCAGACCAACATCTGCCATGACAAACTACGAAGAGCTAATGATGAAATTGCCTGTACCTTTACAACCAGTGACGCTGTCCTCTGTGGTAAAAGAAAAACTCACCGACGGTGTAATAGTGACAAGTGGAGCTGTCAATGCATTGATGACGCGGCTTTTGTCTGCTCAATTTGTTCGGGGCATTGTCAGAATTATTCGACACGTTGACTCGCAGAAGAAGCAATTTGATGAAGGAATAGCCGCTGATATTGAAAATGGTCTTCGAAACATAGAGCTTTGCGCAGTAGAAAGCCTTAAAACCTCACTCTTTCACAACGGTCAACTCATTCCCGGAAGTAAGGATTATGTACCATATCTTCAAGAGAAAGTTGTGGAGTCTGGCAAGGAAAAGTTGAAGGTGTATTTGAATTCTATAACAGGAATGAGCGACGCTATTTCGGCTACGTCCCAGGTAATTGAAGAGATTTATGGTGAGCGTCTGGGAAAGAAAATGGTACTAATTCCTGAGATGCTGCGTTGTCCGCTTGGTGACATATGGCTTCTACTGAACAGTAGGCGCATTCGACGAGATGACACTTATGATGGATCAGAAATAGGCATTTATGCAGAGCCAGGTGGCTTCATTCCAATCGAGGAGCATCATCTGCTGAATGACGCCTTTTTGGAATTTGAACCTGGGGAATATGTAGGTTATCAGCTGCATGACCCGAGTCTTCAACTTGGGGAAGGAGTCGCCACGTACATCTACGCTATTATTATCAAGGAGGTCGAAGTGATCGATGAAGATGCCATTCTCTTGACAAAGATGTACCAAATCAACATCGGATTCGACAGAGAACCAATTGAGGTCAATGCTGCCGTCTTGTACAAATTCCACCGTATACAAGATATATCTGAACGGGAGAAAGAACGCCCCAGAAATAGAAACAGAGAGGTGATTTTTCAAGAGATTTCAGGGCAACTGAAGGATGCATGGAGACTACCAGAAGAACAAAAACGACAAATCGTGAAGCGGCTAATTCTACGTTGGCATCCAGAGAAGAACTTGGGAGATGAAGAATTCTGCTCAGAGGCGTTTGAGCACATCAAGAATACAATCTCGCAACTGGGTGGCTCTTACGACGACTATATTGATGCTTGGGTAACACGTGCAATAGAACATGGCACACGGCGTGAGGAGTACAGAGAAAGACTCGCCAATTCGGACAGGTCCTGGGAATCGTCATCATGTCACATGCCTCCAAGGTTCTGCATTAGAAATCCTCAGCCTGAAGAGGCTAAGCGTTGGTTCAGACAGGCGGAAGCTGACCTTGCAGCCGGTGCAAATGAAATTGATTCCAGCAGGCCTTCTTATGAGTGGGCATGCTTTAAATGCCATCAGGTAAAGATAATTATTGACTTTTGTAAATGTCTCGCAGTAATATTTATAAGGCTATGAAAAGTTAACTTTGGGATTACATACCTATACTGTGCTTGCCAGTTGATCAATCGTTTTTCCTTTCATGTACAAACAAAATATATAACTGAGGGGCAAGAAGTTGGATAGAAAAAAAGACCGCAAAAAAGCGAACCAAACCTGCGACGCAATTCTTATAAGCATTATTAGCCGGGCAGTAATTTGGCAGAAAAAAAAGAGAAAGAATGAAGGAAAGTGTTTTTTCTTCAACTGCTCATACATGGCAATGTTTGTAAAATATTTAAGTACAGCTAGAGTCTTCGAAAATAGTAACCAGTGCCTCTGTGGAATACATTGCATTAATTTGTTCTCCTGTAGGCAGCAGAGAAGGCATTAAAGGCGGCTCAGTACATGATACATGCTGACAAGACTAGTGATCACAACTTGGTTCAGAATTGCAGTGGTTTGAATGATTCCGAGTTAATCAGCTTTGCCAGCGGTTTGGAGACACTTGTTGTTCGTTCGGCTCGCATGCGTTATCCAGATCAGGTGTCCTTCCCCAAGATCCCAAACGAAGTTTACTCGGCCCAGATGGCTGACCAGGCATTCCAGCTTTCAGAGAATATCTTGATGCGGGTCAAAGACAGAATACCCTAAGGTAGATGCTAAATTAGATTAATGACTAGATAAGCGATATTTTACCAAAACTAAATAACGTTTTATTAATCGGGTAGACTACTTCTTTCATTGTCAGGGTTATAATTACACGTAGAACTTCACGTGACATGGCCAAAACTGAATTGTAATCGAATATTATCCCCAAAGCGAGATAACAAAGTTTTAGAAATTTGTGTTTTCATTGCACATTCAGGTTTCCTGATATATCCTTGTTTAAGAAAATGCCTTTGCATTTGACTTTCATTTTTCCTCGCAAGTCAATTGTTAAATCGAAAGGAGCTGAATTTCGCATACAGACAAACAATGTCACAATAGAAGTAAAGTATATGGATCGCTACATGGTCGCCTAATTCGTATTAGGCAATGGATCATATGATAACTCCGGGTGTAAAGGTAAAGATAAAGACTAATGTATGGTATGAACTGCATTTGACAGGGTGTGGCAAGTGTTTGGACTGAGAATGTGCAACGATTGATGCATTTCAGATGTTACTGCCAAAGTTCCTATGCACGTGTTCATCAGTAGCTGTACATTTAATTGAACAATTCAGTTTTCAAAACGTCAAGTAATGTATGTAGAGTGATCCATGTTTCAAGAAGTGCTGATGGGGAAACATCCAAACCCGTGCATGTTCTCTAGCGTAGAGTTTACGGTTCTAGTACGTGTCCTTCTATTACTTCTTAAATCTGTAAAAACCTTCGCTCTAGGTTTTCAAATATTAGCCAAAGTGTAAAGACATGACTCCAGTCAATATTATTACAATACATAGCTTTCTTTCATAGAGAGGAGCATAGCTTAGCTTCAGATATTTTGTAACGGTAAAGAGAACAAAGAAAGCTTGCCTTTAACAGACCTTGTGTCAATGCAGGCAAATAGGAGACGTTCCCATATTGACAGTGGCATCGGGGAAATACTACAGTTTGTTAGTTGTTGCATTTTGTTTTTCTTTTCGTTCTTTTTTTTTTTTCAAGCTTGTTCGCCAGCAAGAAGGCGCAGTTTTGAACGTGTTCTTGGGCATCCTTTGAATCACAGACCTTTAGCAAGCCTTTAGCATTCTTAGTAGCTGGATTGTATTCTTAATTTCAAGTCAGTTACAAATTGAAAGTTCTTCCTGGTTTAAAACACGAGTCTTTTGCTATTTGTTAGTAGGATATAAAGAGTAATTAATATTTCAGAATACATGGAATAAAATGTAAATGCAAAAGTTACAGAATTAAGGCACATGCTCAAAATACATACCAGTCAAACAGAGGAAACGGTAGTTAAAAATTAGAGAGAGGTACGCCACAGAACATGGTATAATTTTTGAATTTTAAAGTAGAAATAGCTTTTATGTTAGTGGATGTTTCGGAGATCCGCATAGTTTCTTTTTCGTTTTTGAGTGGTGTTGTAATCATTTTATCGCTATGTCGTTAAAATACAGGGCAAAGTTAATTCGATGACTTTGATGCTTCCAAGTTAGTGAACACCATTTAGGCTATTTTTAGAACAAGGAAACTGTGTAGCCTGTAGTAAAAGTTCGGATTGTTTAAATCATTTTTTCCTACAAAAAGGTTTTTTTACTAAAAGGTTGTGTTTTTGTAGTTTAAAAAGTGAAGTCCTAATTCCTGTTAGTAATTAATACTATTAATACTAAAAGCTCGATAGCATTTAACGATTGCAGAGATGGGTACATTGAAATAGGCCTAATTAGTTGGTTGGTTGTTACAGCAACGCAGGCAAAAAAAACCCCAATAAAACCATGACTTTAGTTGGCGTTCTTCCTTGAGTCTAAACGGTAGAAAGCTTGCTAATAGGGAGGGGACGGGTGGAAGGTAGGAGAGAGGCCCAGATGGAACCAAAATACCAAATTATACTTTTAATGCATATGTTTCTAATATGATTTTAGAGCCTACAATATTCAAGAGGCTCTACGACTGTCCCTCTCTCTCCCTTCAGTATGACCACCCAGCACCCAGCACTTCTTAGGGTCTCTTCATATGAGCCCGGTAACCGGGCTGGTTCGGTTACCGGGACGAATTTCAGGTCATATGGGAAATTTCAGCCCGGTCGACCGGAATGAAATTCAAGAAACAAAACCAAAATGGTGGAACATAAACTTGTATCGTTCGCGACTGTCGCAGCTCTGTGGACTTTTTTAATGTAAATAATTCGCATACATTTGAAGTGGAAATTCATACGAGACAAAAATTAGGCCATTTTGGCCGCTATGTTGCGAAAGCGAAGCTTGTTTGTTTCGTCCTGGTCACCTGGGCTGGAGTGTTCATATGGGAAAATTTTCATCCCGGTTACCGAGATCTTAGTCACAAAATCCGAGATCTCGGTAACCGGGCCAGCCCGGCTTCTCATATGAACACGTCGAAATTTTTACGAAGGAAAGAGTGGCTAGGCGAGATCTCGGAAACCGAGCCAGCCCGGTTGACCGGGTTCATCTGAAGAGGCCCTTAGGGCCTCTTCAGATGAGCCCGGTCAACCGAGCTGGCTCCGGGTTGGCTCGGTTTTTTTTTTTTAGACAAAAGAGCTTCGCTTTCGCAACATAGTGGCCAAAATGGCATAATTTTTGTCTCGTATATATTTCCAATTAAGGAGTATTCGAATTAGCTTTATTAGTAAAGTTAAAAGAGTCCACAAAGCTACGACGGCCGCGAACGATACAAGGTTATGTTCCACCATTTTGGTTGTGTTTCTTGGATTTCATCCCGGCAGACCGGGCTTAAATTTCCCATATGAACAGATAACAAAATTCGTCTCGATAACCGAGCCAGCCCGGTTACCGGGCTCATATGAAGAGGCCCTTAGTGAGTCTTGTTCCAGATCAGTAGAATGCTCCTTTTTGTCAGGAAGGTTAATGTTGGCAACGTTAATAGTCAACGTGCAAATTACTCCAACAAAATTATTCCAGGTGGTGTATATCGTTCAATACGCCGGTTATTAAAATGAAACGGTGCTTGTTTGTTTTAGGGAAGTCAGGCGGGTTTAGTAGGGGTAGGCTATGAAAATCAGTCCCAATTTCTAGCCAAATCCGTCAGTCGTCAAGTATTTTTGCTAAAATCCCAGTTCAGAGGTATATTCTATGCAGTGCAAGGGAAGTGGTAACCTCCCACCTCCAACGATCTTACAGAGCAAAATCCAAGGGGTATATGTTTGGACTTAAATTTAACGTATTCTAGATTTAACGCATTTTAGTTATATTAAAATATACCTAAAATAAGTTAAATTTAAAGAATAAGCGAACCCGTGCAAATTATTGGTTAAATATATGGTTATGAAAACGTTTTTGCCCAATTCTGCTGATCGACAAAGACACCCCCACCCCCCACCCTGCTAAACCAAATTCTGAGGCAGAATCCCGTCTAATTCAGAAGGCCACGCCACCTTTTGAGAAACAATATACTCCTGATTCCTCCTGATAACGACTCACCACTTGATACCGGATGCCAGACGGTCGTACTCGACATCTTGCATAACTTACGTCAAGTGTCGTTATAATGTGATAATTGATCTTGGTTTCTCGGAAAAGATATTTTTGGAAAGTACAAAAGCATTTCCTAGAATCATTGACGATTGTTGGAAAGGGATCTATTTATTGCTATTTGTGTTGTATTCCTAAGTTGTGAAGAGCGAATACTCACTCAGAAGCGGTTTGAAACTAAGAACAAGGTAAGACAATCCTTCAGAATGTTATATTGTTATGTTATATCGGTTTGTATAATTGTTTGAGCAAGGGAAAAAGTAAAGCAGCCTTCAAGTTTGTAATATCGGCATTCGCTTGGATACCATCGCTGTAACGATTTACTCTGAACGTCGATCAGCACAAATTAAATTCGAACACAAAATATCACAAACCATACATAACATTTGCGGATTCCATCCTTCAGCAATTATTTAAATGCCATTCCGAATACTGTTAATTCTAGACGCTTTAACAGGGTACCAGAGAAGATTCATGTCCAGAATAATATTAAATTAAAACTCATTTCAAATCATTTCGTCTAGAAGGCGTTTAAGGATCCTAAAATGATGGAATGAAACCTGTGACCGTCAGATTTGCTGGGCCTGTTAACAGGACAAATTCAGAGTCATTAAGTATCACTAGGGCACGTTATATGCGAGTGGTAGAGGGGTCAAGATCACGTTTCACGGAAAATAGATTGGTCCTTTCACAATTTACTGGAAATAAAATCGATCTTTCATGTTTCACGAAAAAAAAGATATTTTTTGACACGAACTTACGTAACTTATGATATTTGAATGTTACATCTAAGCACAGCCTTGTTAGATGTCTTCATCATCAGTCCGCTTCTTGTTCTGTGCAGAGGAAAAAGAAAAACAAGCAAGAACACGAAGAGATGATAGTCGAGACACAACCAGAATCACGGTTCACGACGAATTAAATACTTCTTTCTCATTTCACGGAGAATTATTTTGGAAAATTGCGGTCCACGGCTTCTAATGAAATCACAATTCACGAGGAAAAAACAAGCCATTTCGCATTTCACGAGAAAAAAATTAGGCCCTTCACGAATCAAGAAAATACTCTTTACCACCCTCTTTTATTAGGGTTTGGTACGACTGAGTAGGTACAATCGCACAAGATACATTAAAACTGTACGTAAACAAACGGTTGAAATAACGGCTCNTCATGTCCAGAATAATATTAAATTAAAACTCATTTCAAATCATTTCGTCTAGAAGGCGTTTAAGGATCCTGAAATGATGGAATGAAACCTGTGACCGTCAGATTTGCCGGGTCTGTTAACAGGACAAATTCAGAGTCATTAAGTATCACTAGGGCACATTATATGAGAGTGGTAGAGGGGTCAAGATCACGTTTTACGGAAAATAGATTGGTCGTTTCACAATTCACGGGAAATAAAATCGACCTTTCACGTTTCACGAAAAAAAAGACATTTTTTGACACGAACTCACGTAACTTATGATATTTGAATGTTACACCTAAGCACAGCCTTGTTAGATGTCTTCATCATCAGTCCGCTTCTTGTTCTGCGCAGAGGAAAAAGAAAAACAAGCAAGAACACGAAGAGATGATAGTCGAAAAAAAGAGAAGACACAACCAGAATCACGGTTCGCGACGAATTAAATACTTCTTTCTCATTTCACGGAGAATTATTTTGGAAAATTGCGGTCCGCGGTTTCTAATGAAATCACAATTCACGAGGAAAAAACAAGCCATTTCGCATTTCACGAGAAAAAAATTAGGCCCTTCACGAATCAAGAAAATACTCTTTACCACCCTCTTTTATTAGGGTTTGGTACGACTGAGTAGGTACAATCGCACAAGATACATTAAAACTGTACGTAAACAAACGGTTGAAATAACGGCTCACTGGGGTGAATTAATGAAGCCATTCCTCACGTCAAGTCAAGTCATTCGCTCACACTTCTCAGCTTTTCCTGGCTGACTAATAACTGTACAAGAACTGTCATGGTGTTCGTGATAAATTTTATTTGATCGGCAGTTATGGAAACGATTTTATACAGACTGTAACAACGACAAGTTCTACAAAGTAGACGAAGTTATCTTCTCCTACTTTCCCATGGGTGAACGTGACAGCGTCAATTGATGACAGGAAATATTTCCGTATACCAGTCATTCAGTAAAGCCTAAAAAATGTATCAACCGAACTAGGGCATTTAGGGTGATATTACGGCGAGATCATTACAGAGTGGAAGAAAGCATGAAATTTGGAACAAAGAATCTTGTTGCTGTAAGAAACAAATTTAGCCTGGGTGCCACGTGTGCCAATGATCCGGGGGGAGAAGGCAGGGATTTCAATTCTCGACAATCTTCATCGGCATGAAAACGAGGCTGATAAATAAAACCATGGTTTTTAACAGTTTTGATCACCAAATTAAACCAAAAGACATCAACAGTTTATAGATTAGACTGAATGCCTGGGTGTCACGTGTGCAAATGATCCGGGGGGAGAAGGCAAGGGATTTCAATTGTCGACAATCCTCATCGGCATGAAAACGAGGGTAATAAATAAACCATGGTTTTTAACAGATTTGATCACCAATTGCAACCTTTTCAGCCGTCTGTACATAGATAGCCACCCAGCATATCGAAGTGGAAACCTTGATGAATGTTTCAGACACAAAAACTAAACTACCAGCTACCACTTCTATGGGTAGTTTCTATTTGGGAAGCTACGATTCAGGAAGAAGTATGACCTCTTGACATGCGTTAAGCCTGCCAGTACAAGCCAGCCCGATGCGGCTCAACTCTGTGATTGTCAGATCTTTGATGGATCAATAACATCCACAACTGTTTGATAGCTAAGCTGAGAACTTCTTTATTTCATTAATTATGAATCATCGACAATCAAGTAAACAAATGGTCATTGTTTAGGATACATAGAAGGTGAACAGCATCAACGATTTAACCAGAGAGAAGAGGGCTAAAGGTAAGAAAAGAAAGGTGACAGCCGACACCAAGATTCCCTCAAACTGAAAAGCATTTTCTTTAGACAATACCACAAGAAAGAATTCGTTTCCTTCAATTCCTAACAAACAGAGTTGCAAACTTCCAGTTTCCCATGATCAAGAAAGTAAACTTTACCTCCGACGAATCCGTTATTGAAAGCAGAGTTTCTACTTGTATAAAGAAATGCGTCCATTAGGGAGCTGGCACGAGGATAGCTGTACATGTTCAATAGGTGCTAAACAATTTATACAGTCAGGTTCTCGTCTGCACATTGGATACAGAAGTTCTTGTTTATAATGACA